TGCATAGTGGGAAAACATACCTTGCTCATGGATAGGTAGACTCAACATTGTGAAAATGTCACTTCTACCCAAAGCGATCTACAGATACAATGCAATCTGGATCCAAATTCCACCGGCATTTTTTAATGAGATGGAGAAACAAATCACCAACTTCATACGGAAAGGGAAGAGGCCCCGAATAAGTAAAGCATTACTCGAGAAGAAGAACAAAGTGGGAGGCCTCACCCTACCTGATTTTAGAACCTATTATACTGCCAAAGTAGTGAAAATAGCCTGGTACTGGTACAACAGATACATAGACCAATAGAACAGAATTGAGAATCCAGACATAAATTCATCTACCTAGGAGCAGCTGATATTTGACAAAGGCCCCAAGTCTGTTAATTGGGGGAAAAGACAGTCTCTTTAACAAATGGTGCTGGCATAACTGGATATCCATCTGCAAAAAACTGAAACAAGACTCATACCTCACACCATGCACAAAAACTAACTCAAAATGGATTAAAGACTTAAATATAAAATCAAAAACGATAAAGATCATGGAAGAAAAAATAGGGACAACGCTAGGAGCCCTGATACATGGCAGAAACACAGTATGAACCATAAGTAACAATGCACAAGTACCAGAAGAGAGACTAGATAAATGGAAGCCCCTAAAAATGAAACACTTGTGCTCATAAAAAGACTTCACCAAAAGAGTAAAAAGACAGCCTACAGACTGGGAAAAAAATTTTTGGCTACGACAAATCCGATCAGCGTTTATTCTCTAAAATCTACAAGATACTGCCCAACCTCAGCAACAAAAAGACAAATAACCCAGTTAAAAAATGGGCAAAGGATATGAACTGGCACTTCACCAAAGAAGATGTTCAGGCGGCTAACAGACATGTGAAGAAATGCTCACAATCATTAGCCATTAAAGAAATGCAGATCAAAACTACAATGAGATATCGTCTCACCCCAACAAGGCTAGCATTAATCCAAAAAACACAAAATAATAAATGTTGGAGAGGTTGTGGAGAGACTGGAACACTTAC